TATCTATGTACTTTCAAATTAAAATATATTATGGTAGCTTTAAAACAAATATTTGTAAAACCACTAAACTAATAAAACTAATACATTAATATATTACTTGTTATTATTCTTATATACCAAAAAATATATGTTTGAAATTTTATTGTTTTTTAACATAACTTGGAAAGCAAATTGAAATCAATAGAAATCATGTGGTCCCACGAGTCTTAAAATATGTATTGCATGTATCTTATTAAAAAAATGTGCATTGCATGTATCTTATTTTAAAGTGTGTTAAATAAGAAGAAAATGAATATTTTTATTGAATCATTGAACAATTATTTCGAAAATATGTTAAGATACCAAAAATAAAAAGAGAACTATTATTTTTCAAGATGAAATTAAGACCCAATCACGAGTTTCACACAATCCTTCATTTTAAATGAAAATAATTTTATCATTTGTTGTCATCTTATCTATTATATCATATGTCATTTTGTGGTAAATTTATATTAAATTATATTCGTTGTTATTTTTGATTGTTTTTATTTTATTAAATTTTATATAGTATTTAAATGTAATAAATGTATATCTAATTATTAATATACAACTTTCTCTTTGTAATTTCTAAAATTTTAAATTGAATTCAATTATTTTAGTTGTTTATTTATTTAAATTATTAGTTTAAATTTAAAAGATAAATAAACACTTCAACTTTACTAATTAAATATTTCATTTTTTGATATATATATTTTTTAGGATTTTTTAAATTATATGTCCACTTGTCATTTTTATGTTTTTCTTTCTCTTTTTTGGAAATGTCAACTCATTATAATTAATATCATGGGCGAAGTTACATAAGACACACCCTTAAATTTTGTAGACATGTTTGTGCACCTTTAAGATACTTAGGTTCGATCTCATTTGTCGGCAAATTTTTTAAAATTTAAGCACTTATTTATACTCTCATTTACACAATTTAACCAATTTTCTAATTCTTTAACAAATCACATATGTAGAAATTTATATATTATGCCCCTCAATTTTTATAAAATTCTATTTTTTTATTTTATATAATTTAGTTACTATATGTTACAACTTACTCTACAACTTACTCGCTTAAATTTATCTTGCTTATATAAAAAAGATGGATTTAGAGTGGTCCAATTTTACTTTTCAGAACCTTCAAAATCAATGGTCTCTGCCTTCCCTTTTTTCTCTCTCTCTCTCTCTCTCTCTATATATATATATATATATATATATATATATATATATATATATATATATATATATATATATATATATATATATATATATATATATATATATATATATATATATATATATATATGTATGTGTGTGTGTTTGTGTGTGTTTTTTACAATGAACATCCTAAAATAATATTTGGCTTCACCCTGATTAATTTCATTAATATATTAATAAATATAAATTAAAATATAAACGGTAGCAATCGGTTTATGAATTCCTATATTTATGGTGTACATTCATCAATGACTTTTCAATTTATATCTCTATCACTTAATCAAGGAAATCATTTTGTCCACTGGATTTTATTCTATATGGAAATCATTTAGAATACTATGAATTAAAGAATTTGCCGATATTATATCATTTATATGAATAGCATAAACAAAATAAAGAAAACCATTAAGTATGTGTAAATAACTTCAAAGAGTGCTCATTTCACGAATATATGTTTACGTAATCAACTAAGCAAGTGACCAAGTTCTCATTATTATTTAACATGTTCGATCCTATAAATTTATTAATTTTTTTTATTCCCGACTCTTAAAAGACATGTCAATTATTTATTTTTAGATGTTATGTATATTTTTTAGTTTAGCTGCTTTCATTTTTACTTCTTTAACAAATGTAACGTGTTTATAAAAAAATATTATTACAAAAGAAACACCTAATTATTTATTAACAATTATTATAAAATACTTATTAGGACGATCAATTTTATTAATCCAAAGTAAACATGAATTATTCCTTTATAATTAAATAAAATTAATTTTAAAACACTCTTAACTTATTTAATTTGTTGAACTCCAGGGGTGACAAATCGTGCTATTGTTTAATGTTTTTGTCTGACACGATAATGTTTTATATAACACGAACACGACATGACATGATATCGTGTTTTTTTAACTAACTCGGAAATAAACAAATTTAAAAACAACAAACACGACACGGCAAAGATAACATATACTAAAAACTAGTTTATTTAATGAATATTTTATTAAATATAACACGATAAATATGAAAAACAATATAAATAAATGTTAAACCGTGTCAATTTCGTGTTGACTTTTGAACACGAACAAGACACGAAACGAAATCATGTTTTTACAATTAACATGAATACGACACGAACACGAATTCAAATTGCAGTTTTGTCCCAATTTAATTTCATGTTGTATATTTTTCCAGTGTCGTTTCAAAAATTGTCATCCCTATTGAAATCTGCTAAGGAAATATGCTAAGATTCATTCTGACACATGTCATATTCTCATGTAGTTGAGCAAGCATATTATAGGAATAGAAGTAATTTGTAGAAGTAATATATGAAACGTTACATTTATTCTAAGAATGTCTTTGCATAAAAGAATTCTTTTCACATTTCAAAGAAGATAATTTTCGTTGGTTGTATATATTGTAGTGAAAATAAACAAGAATCAATGGAGTTATCGAAACTCTTATTTTTAGACATGCAACGTTCACTTATGGATAATTTTATGTTGTGTTGTCCAATGTTCACTTTAAAAATGAACTAAAAATATTAATTTTAGACAATGATAAATTTAACAATAAGACATATAATATTGTATTCAAATAAGTTTTTGAAAATTTATGAGTCATAACAATTATATTTTCTAATATGTCAATAACTTTTTTTTATTATTATAGATTCAATTACCTACTTTTTTACTATTTTGTTTGTATTTTTTTTTACATTTCCTTTAAAAATGTTTAATTCTTACATCTTAAAATTCAAAACAATCATTCAAAATGTGTCAATAGATTTTTTTTATTAATATAAATTGAATTGCTTATTTATTTATTATTTTGTTTGTATTTATTTCAAAATTTACTTTTAAAATGCTTAATGTTTACTCGTTGATAATTTTATTTTATTAATTTGTATATTACACTGTTCTCACACCTAACCAAATAATAAAAACATATGAATTATGTAAAAGTTAAGTATGAAATTTTATAAATAAGTCAGAAAAATAAAAAAAAACATTTTTATGACTATAGAGAATAATTAATATGTAGGTATTGTATTACTTTTTTATTTTGTGTTTATATATTGATTTATATTTGTCAATTATATAATATAAAATATGTAATTATTAATTAAAAATAAAAAAGTAATAAATACTCTTATTTCATTTTTATTTTTTTAAAAACAGCTAACACACTTTATTATATTCTACTCTTAAAACTACATTTTTATGTAGACTTAAACATACAACTAGTTTCAATATTTTGATTACACGGTTTCTTTTAGTAAAATTGGATGTTTAATTAGCCCGATTTCATTTTCTTTTGTTTTCTCATCCAAAACACAATTTTTACTTTAATTTATATTCTAATTCCTTTAAAAATTTTAAAAATCCATGACCATACGTGCCTAATTTTGAACCTTGTGAGATTCTAAATTTAGGTGATTCTTTTTTGAATGTTTACTTCCAAAGTTACACCACCAATGTCACTTTAAATGTGTTTGCTACTTTTATAAATAAATAATTAAAAAAAAAAACATAACAAACAAAAAAATTATTCTAATCACACAAACAAAAATTGCTTTTGAAGCGGTTAATTTCGTTTGAAAATGCTGTTGCTGTTATTAGAAGTTTAATGTACCGACATATTTGTAAAGAGAAATTAAATTGCCTCCTACCTTTTATTCCTACAATTATTCCTACCCACTAAAATTATGACAAATCACCATTCAATTTAATTGTATTTGATATATTCCTAATATAGTCTTAATGATTTAGTTTAAAAAATATGAAAAGATGACACTTATCATAATTTTATTGAGTAGGCATATTTGTAGTCATAAAAAGTATGAATCAATTTAATTTCTTATTTGTAAATATAAATGTGGAACTTCAACTACCTCTTATTTATTCAATAAATGCTGCGTGACAATAAATACCAACAGATTTTACTTGGCTACTAACTTTATTCAATATTTATTTATTTAAGAAACCAATCACATTTTCTTGCCAAACTTTAATACATTTTTTTTTTCAAAATCGTAATATTGACCCATAATAAACATTATAATTCAATACTGAATAATACATTATTGAGATTTTCTTTGTCAATACTCAATAATCATCCCCACCATAATGTTTTTACTATGTTTGAAGCAAAAGCTATGTGTGTGGTGAAATAAATAGGAGAGTAAAATTAATTTATGATGAATATCATTAATAATTCAACCAATACAACTAAAGGCATCTTACGTAAAAGCGACTTCTGCCAAAATTTTAAATAAAGCTGTGAATTTCAAAATCAGTACGATTGACATCTTCTACGTCTGTAAGACAAATATCGAACCTAACAAAAACATCTCCTATATTGTGTCTACTTGGGATTTGTGTGTCTGGTCATATATTCAAATGCAAGAAGCATGTCGTAGAAGAAGATAAGGAAAATTTATATGAGTTTTCAACAACACTATAAAAAAAAAAATGATCGTAGCTGAAAACAATCCCCTTCTAAAAGGGCACTTCTAGTTCTAGGTTTCACTTTGAGATTATAGAGGGTGGCTGATAAATATTAACACCAAACATATCGACTACTAGTGTGAATACACGTGACAAATATGTAAAAAAAATGGTTGTTGTTTGAAGAATTTTTTTTAAATGGTTAATTGGTTAGAATTTATTTACTCAAAAACCTAAAAGTTAATCAAATAAAAGTACTCGTAGATTTCTACATATAAAAATTATATAATATTATCATAATAGAAGTCGAACCTGGGGATTGAGTATCAAAAGCATGAGAACTGATAAGTTGCAGAGTGACGTTTTTCCCCACAAGCTCATGAAGTCGATCGAGAACCGATGCACTCAAGTCGATGATATCCAACACATTTTTCTTTAGTAAAACCACTCTTCCTATGATCGTCTTCATTTTGTTAGCGTAGGAAGCTTGTTTGCTTAGGAAGACAACGTTGATGTAGGAATATATAGAGGTTGGGAAACCCTAGCTGCTATGTGCAGACAAAAAAGGGATTTATGATGATATAAGGTATTAAGTTAGTAGGGACACATTCGTTTAATTATTTAATAAATTAAGTTTGAAAAAATAAAATAAAGTTTTAAATTTTATAAAAAAAAAAATTTCATTCAGTTTGTATTGTACGGAAATATCAATAAATTTTAGTATTTATATACCCGTTTGTAACGTAAAACACCAATAAAATATAGTATTTGTACTTTTTTGTTATATTAAGAGTAGGTTTAAATTTTCAAAAATCAATTGCTTTGTTTGGTGTATGTTTCTTATATCAAAGTTTTCTTGTAATCTAATTTTGAGCTTCTCGCTTAGGTTTTTTTTTTTTTTTTTTTTTTTTTTTTTTAATGTAAATCTTATGCTTGCCGTCCATAAAAAAAAGTACACATATTGGTTAGTGATGGAAATTTGAACACGCGGCTAACTTTAATGATCTTTTTTTTTTTTTTTGTATAAATATAATAGTCTATTGATATTTTTTGTACAAAACAAAATGAATTATATACATTGTTATCATTTTTATGGTCATACTTTAAATAGTCTCTCTTCATATGATATCATTAATGAAAGGCTAAATAACGAACTTCTTTTAAGGATAATTTGTAAGTTGTATTTTTTTTCTTTTACGAAAAATATAAAACTATGGACAAAAGAGGATAGGTTTTTAAAAATTGAATGTCATATCCAAACCCATAAGAAGCAATCATATCTCAAATTCAGACCGTTAGATCAATCTAGTTGGCTCCTCAGTGCAATAGTTTAACAAATGTGAAATATTTCCAATGATTTTCTTATAGATATTCGAGGGTATGGCCGTATGGGTATGTCTCATTAAATTTGTACCTCTTATTATTATTATTTTTTTATTGTTTAATTGAGCTATTGACAACTTCAACTTGAGTTAAATATATTGGAATTGATATATTTTCCTTCTTATTTCTCTGTCTTTTCTTATTACTTCTTGGTTTCTAGTTTATAGTTATGGTGGCCTATATATAACTGCTCTACAGAAACCTTATAAGTCGTGGATGGTGTCTTCCACATCAACGACCAACACCATGGTCGACGATGCAGAATCCTCGAACAAGAATGACAACAACACACCGGACCACAACTCTCCACTTTATCTCCATCCGTTGACTCCTAGAAAAATGCAAGTTAACAATGCATTATCTGACAAGAATGATACATATGGGGCTCAAGAGATGGATAACTTTCTTCTTGCAAAAAAAAAGATCGGTTTCATAGATACAACCCTTAAAAACCCGATAAAACGTCAAAAGACTATATGACATGGATTAGGGATGAACATTAGATCTAGTTATCGGCTCTCCATTTTCATGAAAACTAGTTCCGGTTCTAAAAACCGAAACGGGTTTGATATTTTTCTCATTGTTTAAAATTCATATGATGTCGGAATTATTTAAGTTTTTTTTTCCAAGATGTAATTTGGAGTTTGTAATTTATTTTTGACTTTACAAACATATATTTTGGTTAGATATTGAATCAGACACATGCTACAAAAGAGAGAATATCGATGCTGTGTTTTTTCTATTTCAACATATTTTTTAATCTATTCCATTTTTTTAAATATGCATAACTCATTCATATGACGTCAGAATTACTTAATTTTTTTCCAACATGCAATTTGGTGTTTGTAATTCATTTTAGACTATAAAAACACATGTTTTGGTTAAATATTGAATCAATTATAGATCTCGGAAGACAACATATCAATGTTGCGTATTTTCTGTTTCCGTATTTTTTTTGGAATCTGTCCCGCTTTTAAAATACGCATAACTCACTCATATGAAGTCGAAATTACTTGATTCTTTTTTTTCATCATTTAATTTAGTGTTTGTACTTCAATTTAGAATGTAAAAAGTTATAATTTGGTTAAATATTGAATCATTTACAAGCTTCAGAAGATAACATATCATCTATAATATTTCAACCGTTTCTAGTTTGAAAAATAACCGAAAAACCAGGACCTGAACCGTAACCGGTGCTAGAACCGACGGTTCGGTTCCCGATTCTTATAATATAGGAAAATCGGTTCCGGTTCTAAAGCTCATCCCTAGCATGGATGAGATGTGATGTCATGGTAAAGAGTTGGCAAACACTACATTAAAGATCTGGTCAGACCTTCGTGAAAGATTCGAGAAGGAAAGTGCACTGAGGGCCTACGAATTGAAGAACCAACTAATCGACATACATCAAGATGGAACATTCGTTTTTGCTTACTACACCAAAATTTGATCCTTATGGGATGAGATCCAGTCGGTTTTTCCCACACCTCGATGCACTTGTAATTTGTGTACTTATGACATCGAAAAGCGACTAGTCGAACACCAGGAAAAAGAAAACTTTTAATGAATTCCTCATGGGACTTGATGACGAGTTTATTGTAATAAAAACATATATTCTCGCTACTTCCCATGTTGGATTTTTATTCAAAATTAGTTTAAAAAAACGTAAGATTTAGCGATGAAAGACTTAGAAATTTTGAATAACATAAAACAAGTTTATACCCACCATGGATCATCTTAGAAAGTTTGGAAATAAATCAAGCACCAAAGAAGAAAATGAAAAAATAACAACATTTGTAGTTCTTTGGCTCCTCTTGGGAGGCTTGTAAGTTGATGGAATATGTAGAACTTTTAAGACACCAACAATGACTCAGCTTGATGTAGATGTTGGGTTTTGAGCAATCTAACACTCCTATGGTGTACATGCAACCCTAAATACCTTGGATCTATGTTTTTTCTATTATACATGCAAATATCAATTTTCCAAGGTATTGTTCTAACTAGTATAATATAAAGTACATGTAATATAAAATCTAGTAGAATTACATACCTCTTTGTTGGTGTTTGATTCCATGGAGCTCAGGAGACTAGTGCCCCAAATGTGACACCTCAAATGGTTCACACAACACCATGAACATTTGGAATAACCATGAGAGAAGATATGAGTTCATAGAAATTGGCTTGCCCTCTCATTATTATGCACTTGTGCCAATTTCACCAACCAATGAGGTCTTTATATAGTGTGCACATTAGGGTTATACCATGTAACCCATGACTTTACCCATTCCTTATGCTCCATGGGTTTTAACCTCCATGGAGTATCCATGGGCCACCACATGGATTACACCCAACATAAGGAATCATGGTTCATAAGCCCACATATATAAGAATCAATGATTTATACAATCAATCCCCATATATTTAATTAGTCTCTTTTTGATCACTAAATTAATTCCAAATTAATTCTTGATCAACACTAATTAAATAATATGATTTCATATTAATATATTAGAACTTATAATATATTAATATGTCACAAATATCTTCTTCTCATTAAAAGGTCTACCTAAATGTTACGATGCCATGCAACCCAAATGGACCATGCCGAGTCGGGTCAAGTATATACCAATTATAGTTATGGACTTAGACACTAATCCAACAGTCTCCCACTTGGATAAGTCTAATAACTATTATTGCAAGTACGCCTTCACAACTCGACCAACAATCGTAGCTCTTAAAAGCTGTTACCGAACTCTGAACAAATCAATGACGCTTCCATTAGATAAGTGATCATATGTTCCTCCATTCTAGATATAATATGCATTGAGACATGGATTATAATCATTCTCTCTATCCATTTGTTGTTTCCCGATTTCCGATTTATGACAACTGACTAATTGAACAAATCAAATCAGTCTAGGCCCGGCCGAGCACTTACATTTTGTCATCACTAAATCATCGAGGGGCCCACAGATATCACTTTTATCCCTTTGAGGGCAAAAGGAATGGATAAACTTCGACTCATATGCTTGTACTGACTACTTGTTGAATCATACACAAAGGCACGTTTTATAACATCGAGTTACCAATTTTTTTTTCGTGCAATCAATGTATAACCAAGTCATAGTAAACAACTCATATCTCTAGGTTTGAAAAATATAAGATATTATCGTCTCATGATTCACTCGTGATAAAATCCATGAAGTAATTCAAATGAGCGTGGGTTGAATCCAATACTCAGAACTTATGCGCACTCATGAATGTTGTAGCAACCACTGCTATGTCTAATGCACATTAGACAAATCATACAAGCCAAATTCATGACAGTCTTGATTCATATCTACTTCCAACATATGACTGACTGTGGATGGTTTGAATAACTTAGTCATTCGGGAAGAATGACCTAGTTATTCTGGAAGTCAAAACATGCAAAGTGAAACACAAAAATAATACTAATCCTATATGGCCCCAACACTTTGCGTGTAAATAAAAACACCTTTTATCTAAGCACCACATTGATTACTCATTATTCATGTTTCAATTAATCAACTTAATACTTGAATTGAAACAATAGTCATGCCATGCTCCAAGCATGCACACTATGTTCGTCCAAACAACAGCTATGCCACACTCCAAGTATGCACACTATGTTTACATTTGGTCCTCTCTTTGTGAAACAGATCGATTGAAAACATTTCAATGATGCTCATTTCACAATCCCAATCCTCTTGCCATTTACTGTAATATGTTAGATTCTAAACTTATATGCACTGATCCTCTTGTAATGACTATACCCAAAAGTCATAAAGACTTTGCAACAAACATTACAAAGAATTCCAATAGAGATCAATTACATGGAAATGATCTCAAATTCAAAGCACATTCCTTTGAACATCCTTCTTTGCATTAAGTTCTTTAATCTTACACAAAGTTAAAGAATAATTTCCACCTATAGAAACAATTCCACATTCCCATTTTGACCATCATTTTGAACAAGAGTTGCCTCTTTTCAAAATAATGCAATATCGTCCTTACTTTATACTTCCAATTGTCCATGAGTAACCAATCTTTGGTAAACCTCAAATTTTC